CAGTAGAATGCTTGCCTAGCAAGCTGGAAGCCCTGGGTTTGGTCCTCAGTACCAAAAACAAACAAAAAATAAAATAAAATAAAAATAAAAGTGAAGAAGAAAACATTGAGATATATTTTGATTTTTCCTTACTACTATTAGTTAGAAAACACACTATCAGAATGAGTTATAAATTTAAAAATTTACCAATTCTTTACCATTATATTATGTGATTCAATATCCAACTTAAATAACTTTCTAAATACAATACCTGTATTTTATATATTTATACCAGTGTTACTTAATTCTGTTTTTTTTTTCAGGGCCTCACTATTTGATCATCATGAACTAGCAGACTACTTAATTTCAGCGGTAAATATTCAACCCATGTTTATTTTATTAAACTATTATTTACAGTTCACAATGCATATAATTACATAGTGTGGGGTTTCAAAGTAATTTCTTGCTTAGCCTCAAAGAAAAGTTTTCAGGAAGATGGCTGCCACATGTGCAATTTATAGTATTTTGCATGCAAATACGTATTGGCTAAACTTCATCACCAAGAATACTACTGTCTTAGTATAAGGAGGCTGTGGGTACACTTGGAGAAGAGCTTTTTAGATGGCTTGTGAGCCAGTTCTCTAGGAGTGTCTAAGGCTTACATAGCTCTGGTGGCCCTTCTTCAGCTGGGCAATTTCAGATGGGTGCAAGACAGGCTAACTAAATCCCCTTCACTGTGCATTGTAAGTTTTGACCCCAGTGCTCCAGCACCAACTCAAAAGCCAAGAAAAATGAAGGAAATGAAAACTATTGTTGAAGATTTATTGTAAATGAAAGCATGAGATCTGTCTCATTCTAAGAAGTGAAATCAATAGCTCTTGATTTAAATTTCAATAAGGTTTATGTATGGATGTATGGATGAGCCTATATATTTATTTATAAATATATATTTACATATTTATTTAAGCCCATCATATCAGCAATGAATGTAGTTCCACTTGCAATATTTAACCTGTGAATGTGGTTAGTAGCAACAATGGGAAGTTAAGATGTTTGTATAGAACTTTGAAATGTGTTCCTAGATACCATAGCTTGAGGCCATGCTTGGAAGTTGGCCAAGGCAGCTTCCTCTTCTTCACCTGGCAAGAGAAGAAAGGCAGCGCCTCACCCATGGCCACGAGGTTTCCAAGGGGCTAGGGCAACCATCCTCATCTGCATTCAGTGGATCCTGAAAGAGCAGGGAAATAGCTGCAATCCAAGTTTAAGCTGCTTCTATTAACCTAGGCAAAGTATAGAATTCTCTCCAACACTTTTTCTTTCTTATCATATCAGATATGATTACAATAAATGACTTTTAAGTATAAATTTTCTCAAATATTTGGCCAAAAATCTTACTTAACAAAATTCAGTTATTTTAATTTATCTATTTCAGATGAAGTAGAGATTTTTAATTGAATACTTTCTTGTGAATGTTTTTAAATTATATGTTAATAAATTTGGAAAGTTGTGGACATTTAGAAAATATTTATTACAGTATGAACTAAACTTACTGCTCTAGGTTAGATGATTTTATATTTAATAGATAGACAGACAGACAGACAGACAGACAGACAGACAGACAGATAGATAGATAGATAGATAGATAGATAGATAGATCATGTCAAAAGTCTGACATGGAATGACTTCATTGTTGAAATTCTGAAACAATGCTTTGATCTCAGAGCTCATCTTGAAATTTCAAGTCATGTGTTTCAGTGCTGTCCAGAATTTGCAAACTTTATGCCAAAGGAGTGACATTACTTAGGGATCACAGTGTAGGCTGCTTTATCTGTTTATTGGCTTTTTGTTGAGCACCTCATTCTGTCCTAGGGGGCAGATATCAACATCACCGATTCTGAGGGACGATCTCCACTTGTATTAGCAACGGCTTCTGCATCTTGGAATATTGTCAATCTGCTGCTATCTAAAGGTACCAAGAAGGATCAAACCAAACCTTTGGAAGGAGTGTTTAATCTTGTTAGATAAATATGTATTAATTATCTGTTTTGTGCCAAGCATGGGGTCAGATAAACTTCTATGTCTACAATAATTTACAATCGAATAAAGGAATACAATATTTAAATATTTAAAAAGGTGACTTCAAAACATAATAGACACGATTTTAAGGTAATTGTCATACTTCAGGCATTTGGTGACTATTTTATCAGCTTTCTCTAACGAGTCATTCCTGTGTAGTTTAAGTGCTACATGTCTCTATTTCATATATGGACCTGGTGCTATCCTAACAAACAAAAAGATGTCTCATTGTTGTCTCTCATGGACGTTCTTCATCTCTAGCTGCTCTGTATTTATATTTTACATTTTAAAAGTTAAAGCTTCACATATTAATACAAAGTACAATATACTCTCAGTCCTCTTATAAACAAAGACATTCACATGTGCATGCTCACAGATTAAAGCAAACTCATTTTATTTATTTATTTATTTATTTATTTATTTATTTAGTATCCGGGATTGAACTCAGGACTTTGTGCTTGCCAGACAGGAGCGTATTGTACTAAGCCATTCCCCCCGCAGTCCCCTAAAGCAAAATCATTTTAAAATGTTTTGCTTTAGGGCTGGCCAAATAGTGTAGCAGACTAAAGTGCTTGCTTAGGCAAGCCCAGGGGCTGCCATGCTGGCCCTGCCCTTGGGGCACACTGAGATAGTGGCTGAGACTGGGCATGGTGGTGTGTGCCTGTAATCCCAGCACTTTGGGAGGCTGAAAACAGGAGGATCACTATGAGTCTGTCTTAGTTACTCTTCTCTCGTTGCTGGGACAAATACCCGACACTCAAAATGAAGGAAGGAAAGGTTTATTTAGCTCACAGTTACTGGAGGTTTCAGTCCATACTCATCTGGGTCCAAGGCAGAGCAGCACAGAGCAGAAAGCAACCTTTCATGGCGGCAGCAAAGAGCAAGAGTGTAAGGGAGGGGTAGCAGCAGCTCAAGCAGCTAGCTTCTCTTCCCACCTATCATTGTAATGCAAATTACCTGCCCCAGGGTAGGGGAAGTACTCACACCTATGAGTACTTCCCAGTATTTTCCCACCTATGGGTAATCCCAGCAGTACTAAAATCCATAATCCCAGCCTTGAATCACACATAATCCCAGTGGATCATGAGTTAACACAAACTCTAGAAGTCCTCACCCCATGACTGCATGAGGTTTTGGGGGGACAACTAGACACAAACCATAACAGAGTCCAATCTGTGTAGTGAGACCCTATAGACCCTGTATGAAATATATGTATATATATTTATATATATTTATTCTGAATGACTTTAAAGGTTGCCAAAGTTTTATCAAATTTGTTTTAAGTTAAAAGTCTAGTACAGGCCATGTTCTAAGTGAATGAGAGGAATTCATACTTATATTCTGCTTTTAGGTGCCAAAGTAGACATAAAGGATCATCTTGGACGTAATTTCTTACACTTTACTGTGCAGCAACCATATGGCTTAAAAAATTTGCGGCCTGAGTTTATGCAGGTAATGTGTGTGCATGGGTTTTCTTAAGCTAGGTTATATATGACACAAATAAAACTCATTTTATTATGATTTTTATTGTTACACAGGCTGACTTGGGGGCATCAAAAGTGTTTTGAGCAGTAATGTTGAGGATGGTTTCATTACAATTGAGCTTTCAAAGTTACAGAAAGCTGAATACATATTTAATCACACTTAGGGGGCTTTATGAATTATATATCAGTGGAAAAACCAAGTTGTGAATGAATTAGTGGCACCCCATCATTAAAAGAAGAGCTACTCAGTATACTTTTCTTACTGATGATAGGAGGAAACATCACCTCTGTATTTGTCTTGTATTACATCACAAGTAGCATGTGAAGTGGGCCATATTACAGTAGATACATCTTCATGTAGTCACTGTTTTCTAAAGAAATAAAGAACATGAATGTACTTCAATATTTTACAACAAAGTATATTTATTTATTTATTGAATTAAGCTAGTTATTTATCATTCTTTTTTAATTTAGTGTATGCAGAAGAGACAAAGTAAACCTGATTTTTTTCCCATTATGTATGTGGTACAGGGTCTCACTATGCAGTTGAGACTTGGGCCAGTGTGGCATATGGGACAGGGGATTGAACTCTAGTTCCTGTGCTTACCTAAACAGGTGCTTACTCCACTGAGCTATCTTGCCAGCCCTCAAAGTAAACCTAATTTTTTTAACATCTAATATTTTTTGCCTAACAGAACATATTAAGTTTTTAATGTTATTTGGCGAAAAAATCGAGGGAAGAGAAGGGTGAGTGGGGAAGTATATTTACAGAATGATAGGAAAAAAAATGTTAAGACATTTTCCTACTTCTCTCTTACCCTTTAATACAATAATATACTTTACAGACAAATACGTGTGAGACTCAATCCATATTCATGTCACTCTAGGGTGGTTTAGGTCGTTGGTGATTTTTGCCCTTGAGAAATGTATTGACCTTTGTTGGAAAATTCCATGCTACAGAATACTTGTAAAAACATTCACACAACAGCCATGTTATATGTAGAATACTCATTTGTTCCCACAGATACAAGAAATCAAGGCCCTGGTAATGGATGAAGATAATGAGGGGTGCACACCCCTACATTATGCATGTAAACAGGGGGTCCATGTCTCTGTAAATAACCTGCTTGGCTTCAATGTGTCCATTCATTCCAAAAGCAAAGATAAGAAATCACCGCTGCATTTCGCAGCCAGGTAAGGGTCAGCCTATACAACATATAAATATGTCTTCTTTCTGTTTAAAATTTACTTTGAAAAACATGAAACCTAATAATTTTTTCAAGTTATGGACGTATCAACACCTGTCAGAGACTCCTACAAAGCATCAGTGATACGAGGCTCTTGAATGAAGGGGACCTTCATGGGATGACGCCACTGCACCTGGCAGCAAAAAATGGACATGACAAGGTAGTTCAACTTCTTCTGAAAAAAGGTGCATTATTTCTCAGGTGAGGATACATGATGGAGCCTTCTGTATTCTTTTTCATTAGCCATTTCCAGATTTTCTGTTCATCTTTTATGATATGCTCTAACTTTATATCTCATTAAATACTTTTATTCATCTTATTTATTGTTCATATGTCTTAAATACTAAAAAAGAATTCAATATTATTCCAAATTGAGAGATTAAACATTGAATTTGGTAGAGTTGAGGATCTTCTTGAAGGTCACAGGAAGAGCATTTTTGAAAACTTTTGAGATACATGTCTTCATGTTTTATTTTATCATATTGCCATGTTCTTGTACAAGTACAGAACTGTGCCTGTGTATGTGAATGTGCATATACATACAAACACAAAATCAGACAAGTTTATAGGACTTTTCAATGAGTTTGACAAGTGGTGAACATAAAAATTGACATGAGAAGAGAATATGAACTTAGTAATTAAAAGGAAACTGATATGAAGAACAAGGCTATAGTTACAATATAGCAGCATGATAAAATATGTCCTACAATTGACATTTTAATAAAAAGAAAATCTAGAACATATAGAGAGCAATGATCTGTCTTCTGGTCTTTTCCCCATCAGCAAAGTACTGATGCCAGGATGTCAGTGGTACATCTTTGAACTGAATACTTTTCTCAGTCTCTTCCTGCCTCCTAGAGACATGAATGAGCTAACCCACAAAGAGGACCCAAGTGGACCTAGACCATCAGTTATTGCTTGATTATGTCATAACTGAATAAACAAGGGTGACTTTTACATCTTAACACACCTGTCCATTAGCTCTAAAATTAAATTGGTCAGTGTTTTCTATGCCTAATTTTAAGAAGTGTTATTAACATAGTATTATCACATCTTGACGTTCTATGTCATAGATTTTTCAAAGGGATTGAGCAGCATTGTTGATAGCACAAGAAAGTACAAGAAAGGGGGCCAGGGAGATAGCTCAGTAGAATAAGCACTTGCCTGGCAAGCGCATGGGCCAGAGTTCAATCCTCAGTTCCGAAAAAAAAAAAAAAAAGTACAAGAACTAAATGCTTGAAATAATAAATCATACTAAGTTAAATGTCTTATGATTATGCAATGTCGGATGTTATTGTTATTATTAGCAACAACTATTGGTTGCAAAGACTTTAGTGCCACAATCACAGAGCATTTTATACATTGTTCAAGGAAGCAATAAGAGAAGATTGAAAACAGTGTGTATATGTACATTACAGATTTGAAAAATATGTATGACACGGACATGCTGTCATCCTCAAGTATTTACTAATATGTTTATATCCTTTTCTATTTTAATCCATTAATGTACATATATGAATCTTATTACAGATGGATTACTTAAGACTGTTGGGATTAGTGTTTGCTTTAATAATTTAATGATGATTATCTTGTTTTAATTATCTCATAGATTATGCATCTCTACTAAATATTGGGTTGATAGATCTCAATTATGCTTTGGACCCATCTATAATGAGCTAAGTGGTTACCCTCCCACATGGCATCTGAAGGATTTATGCATATGTCTTCTCAATTCTTGACAGTGACCACAATGGCTGGACCGCTCTGCACCACGCTTCCATGGGAGGGTACACTCAGACAATGAAGGTCATTCTTGATACTAACTTGAAGTGTACAGATCGGCTAGATGAAGAAGGGGTATGTACTACATTCCTCATACCAAGACTTTGATGTAGAAGAAAGTTTCAAAATTACAGGCAACACTTCCTATCATTTACCCTCTTTCCTTTCCTGGACTATTCTGAGCTGCTTTTTAATTTTTGAAAGAAGTAGGCTCTTGGAATAATGACAGAATTAAAGAATACTGAAGGATGGGTTCATGTTGAGGCCACTCCTCCAGTGTCATAGGGACTTGTCCAAGCTGTTGCAATTCAATGACAGAATTTTCCCCACTCCCCAGTAAAGTCAGAAAAATGCAAAGAGCAGGGGTAAGGTTCATAAAAAGAAGTATATTACTTTGAAGCATATTGTCCTTTACTGTGCTATTACCACCTCCCTTTTTTGAAAAGTATTGAAATGTATATTTGTTCATGAAATGATGGAGAAAAATCAATTTTTAAATGTCTTTTGTAGAGAAATAAAGAATAATTGTTTTTGATTAACTGATTAGGTACAATCACTTATTTGGTATTCACTTTTTATAATGTATTTATGTTTATGTGAAATTCAACCATCTGATATTACATAAATGTCTTTTTTTGACAAGACACAAAATTATAACCTTACAGCAAGCTCTTGTTTAAAGAAATTTATAAGTTTGTTAAAGCTCAAATCTGGAAACCATGGCTCTACTAGATGTTAAATCTCCTAAAAATAATTTTTTCTGTGTTCACGGTAATAAACTTACCCTGGAAACTTGTCCTTTGTCCTTTTAGCATAATCCCACTGTGAAAGCAGTACCAACAGTCATGGAAATTCACACACATGCATGCACACACACACACACACACACACACACACACACACACACATTCACCCACACACACATCTGAATGGTAAACTCATTATTCCAAACTTTGATTCTGAATGCTAGCTTTAAATTTACGTATATGTGTATTAAAGAATTAGCTTCGTTGATTATCTTTTTTAAGCAATTAAAAATTAAAATAGGGCAATAGAATGGCCAGTGTACAATTAACCATTATTACCACATTTTCTGTGCTCTGTTTTATTAAAAAGAACACAGCTCTCCACTTTGCTGCAAGAGAAGGACATGCCAAAGCTGTTGCACTTCTTCTGAACTATGATGCGGACATAGTTTTGAACAAGCAACAGGCCTCCTTTCTGCACATCGCGCTCCACAACAAGAGGAAGGAGGTGGTCATCACCACCATCAGGAACAAAAGGTACACTTCTCCTGTCCACTGATACTTAGTGTCCTCTGCTGACAGGGAGATGCGTACCCTGAGGAGACAAGAAAGAAAAAAAAAATGTTTCACTCTCTTATTAACATACTAAAATGTCAGTTGTTTACATATTTTCATGTACCTTTTGGGTGAAAGCAGGGCCATTGTTACATTTTCTGATCTGTAGTTTTCATTTCAAACAATAAACATGAGCACAATACCACTTCTTTTAAGGTTCCGGGGATCTAGATACATGAAGAATCGGGTACCACAATTACCCTCAGGCAAATTCTCTCCTTGCTTGACACATTCTTGTCACAAGAACTCCCAAACTGGATGTTAGTCAAAGTATTCCCTAAGGCACTGGTGCTGTATTGTGAAAGTTAAGGAGTTTTATTGATGAAGGTAGAGAGTAATGTTTTCCACATATCAAATGTAACTTTTCTACAGCAGTATAAAAGATATGAACAAGAGCTCTGGTGTCACCCAGGAGTGAGAACAATGTAAGCAACTTCATATTCAAGGCAGATCTAGCCTGTGTTTTGAGCATGAGTAGTTGAAAGAACCTCCTATTTCTGGGCTGGGGAGATAGCTCAGCAGTCTAAGCTCCTGTCTAGCAAACACAAGGTCCTGGGTTTGATCCCCGGTACTGCATGCCATGCTGGCACAGGAATCTCGGATGCACTCTGCCAGCCTGGTGTGGTGGTGCACACCTGTAATCCTAGCATTAAGGGAGAGACCCTGTACCAAATAGATAAATAAACTTTTTTTTTTTTTTTGTATTCAAATAGGGTCTACAGGCTCTCACTACATAGATCAGACTTGTAGTGATTGTCCTGTTTTCAGCCTCCCAAGTACTGGGTTTACAGGCATGTGCGACCAAGCCCAGTCTCAATCCCTGTCTCAGCATGTCCCAGAGGCAGGGCCAGCACAGCACACCAGGGATCAAACCTGGGTCCCTGAGTCTGCCTAAGCAGGTATTTTAATATGCTAAGATCTGGCCAGCCCAATAAATTTTTCTTTAAAAGAAAGAATCTCTTGTTTCTTTTGAATCACTAGTCAATGAAAGTAAGTAATCAGAAGGCTTCTGTTAATAATGTTCCAGATAGATCAGAGATGACAGAAAAATACTTAGGCTTTTGAAAGGAATCAGACTCCCATCACATAGATAAGATTTTAAGATAAATGGCCTTTTTGTTTTTGATTCTTATTTTATATTTAGATTCTCCTCAGTATCATAAGCACTTTATTATTCCGTCCAACAGGATGATGCAAAATAAAGGGTCAAATTCCATAATGCCTTGACAGGGGCTATGCTTATTAATGTATGTGACACATGTTGTTTTATAGTTTAACTAAATACATAATATATACATATATATGAATTAACTATTGAATATGGATCTAGTACTTCCTGTATATATGTGAATCTAAGTCTTTACTCAACATGTTCAGTTCTACAAGTGCTTGACCACTTCACAACTTTAGAAGAAAAAGACGATAAAGACATGTCTTCCTTATAAAGCATTTCTAGAAATAAAATTGTGATTATAACAGCCATTCTGTAATATCCCCACATTTATAATTTCTACTAATAAACAAAGATCCAACAATGAGTTGATCATGGCATATATTGGCTACATTAGAACACAGGGCTGAGCATTATATTCTAAGAATTAGTCTAAATTTAATTTTATCATAAAGCTGTAAGTTTGAGTTGCAACATCTGTGTAAGTCTTCTGTTTGTCTTATTCTTACAGATGGGATGAATGTCTTAAGGTTTTTACTCATTGTTCTCCAAGCAATAAATGTCCAATCATGGAAATGATAGAATACCTCCCGGAATGCATGAAAGTAAGTTCTGCAAACAGAACTTCCATGGATAAAGATCTGATACATAATATGGTGTGAGGATTTCTTTTTGTAAGCAGAATTGAATAGTAGTACATTTTATCTTTAAATAAAGTTTTTGAGTTTTGAGGGACTATAAAGGATGTTAGCTAAAAGTGAGTATTTGGTTGAATTAAAGAATCCCATTAGTTGTGTGTAATGTAGCAAAATACAGTTCAGGAGAATTTTTCTTCAAACAGTCCAAGTCTAGAGTAGAAACTGCAAAATAGTATTTTTATAGTGTGAATAACAGTGCTAGATATGTTGTTTGCTATGCACTTTATTACTGTTTAGATTTGCACTGGTTGCTAATATTTATGAATAAGATACTTTCCTTGAGAAGCCAGATAACAAGATTCCTGTACAAACCTGATCTGATGCCTGGGACTTCCTGCAGTCAGGAACTGCTGGGCTGAGCATCAGCTCTTCCTTGCCATGGGCAAGGCTCCCCCATTCATACACCCAATATCTCCCTTTGGTGTATCTAGCTCTAACACCAATGGTTTGATGTATATTGTTGTTCTAATACAATGGCTTTCCTTGTGGCAGAGATATTTTTGGAAGATGCCTCCACCTAAACTATGAAGATAAGAGCCAGCCCATGAGGAGGCAATATCTAAAAATAAAGGAAGAGAGCTCTTAGGCCTGGCTTGGCTCATTCACCTACATCAGTTGCCTGGTCTCCCTGGGCCTTTGCACATGTAACTACCTGTGCCAAATTGAACACAAGTGAAAATATGACTGGACACTCACTACAACACAAACACACACAGACTGTTGAATATGAGAGTGTTAAAGGGTATGAAGAAAACAATTCCTGGTTGGTATTTGAGGACCAGGGCAGAGAGAGTAATAGAGAAAAGCAGAATACTGTAAATGTGATTAAAAGGGAAAATATATTCAAATTCTGGAGGAGGTATTAAGACATAGAGAAACAGAGAAGAGAGTGCTGGATGCGGGCCCTGAAGGCCCAGGGATTTCATGTTGGTTCTACTGCTTGTTGTGCTAAAGGTGTTTGTACTCTTTGAGTGTTATTTTCCATCTTGGGTATCCCTAAAACAGTTACGCATTTAGTGATCTTCCAAAGTGATTACCAGAAATATATGTAGGGGGCTGGGGAGATGGCTCAGTGGAATAAGCGCTTTGCTGGCAAGTGGAAGGGTCTGAGTTCAATCCCTGGTTCTGAGAAAAAAAAAAAAAAAAAAAAAAGAAAAAGAAATATATGTAAAATACATACAATGTTTAGGATCAGGTGTTAAACCCTATCTACTGTCTGTTTTTATAAGTTTAATAAAGTTACTATTAGCTGCTTTTAATTTTTATTTAGTACAGGGTTTACAGGGTCTCACTACGGAGATCAGACTCGTAGTGATTCTCCTGTTTTCTGCCTCCCAAGTGTTGGGATTTCAGGTGCGCCACCACGCCCAGTCTCAATCACCCTCTCAGCGCACCCTCTCATCCAACCCCTGCCGCTGCACTCTGCCTAAGGAGGCACTTTAGTCTGCTGAACTATCTGTCTGGTCCAAGCTGTTTTTAGTTTTCAATAAAAATTTGCTATGTACTAAGTGCTTTATGAGCATTTTCTCCTTTACAGCATCTAATGGAAATAAGACTTACTGTTAAGCCCTCTGGTGTCTGACATTACCTATACCCCTATATTGCCCCTTTACACCAAGATATACTTTACAATCATGTCCTGAGTGATGGCCCCAGAAGTTTCAAAGTGCACAGAGGGGGCCACCTGGGAGCATATAGACAATCTTGGTTAAAAAC